CTTTATTAAGTTATCTATACTATTATAATAAAGCGTAAACACACACTTCTTTGTTGCCTAAGATGTCAGCAATTATAGCATATTTTTGAATAATTCTTTTCTTATAAAAAAGCCCTACACTTAAGTCATGCTTTAGACTATATATTTTCACGCCATTAAACTTAGGGGGTCAAAATTTTGGATAAAAACCATAATGTGGGAAAGAGACCATAAGTTGCTGCCCATCAAGAAAGAATAATTGCTAAGATTTATCATGTCATGTTATTTGCTATTGATAATTAAACAAATGTAAACAATAAAATATTTTTTTTATAATTTCATGCGGATGAAGCCGCACGGAAACAGACAGCTAGTACAAAATAAAATTATTAGAATAATTTAAATAAACAATATGGATCAAGGGACTTATGGCACAATAAAATTAAGTTGGCAAAAAAAGTTTTTCATGCAAACCTAAAACCAAAGTGTTTTAATTTATTACTTAATTTGCTTTATGTTTATTCATTAATCATAGTTAATAAAGTTTTTCTTAACATAGAAACACCACAATATATATATATAAAAAATTACAAATTACAAATAAAATGGATTTTTATCAATTTAAATCAAACGTATCTCATAAGCTAACATTTTAATAAAGAGATCACAATAGTAATGGAAGACGACGTCCTCGATTTACTACCGGCGGGGGTGGGTTGGGGGTTTAGGGGAGGGGAGGGGGTTGCTCAGCCGGGGCGGCGCCGCTCCGGATTTATTGCACGCGATTACCGCCTAATGTACGGAACACTAACTACACTCCGTGCAAATTAACGACTTCAATAGAAAAAACACTCACGCCTATAATTTATAAGGTAAGCAGAGATAACAAGTTTCTCAACAAGAAGGCACTTCTTTTATTTTACAAACTTTTCGGATACTCTTGTTCCTAAATCGGTAGAATTAAAATTATAGAACCAAGATTTAAAACAAGAATCCAGGTAATTCGGATGACTTATTAATAACTAGCTGTTGCCCGTGACTTCGTCCACGCAATATTAAGGTTAAAAAAGTAACCTATAATATACCCGATTATGTCAGCTACCCTTCAGTGAAAGTCCAATCGAAATCGACCATCCGTTTCGGAGACTACCCGAAATAAACGCGGCTTGCAGACAGACAGACAAAAAATGTTTATATCAGCAACGCAAATACACCGTCTTCCTGAAATTTGGATTTTTTCTTGATTTGATTTTGATTTTATACGCAGACACTCCAATTTTATTATATGTATAGATAGATTACACACTATTTCCGAATTACTTGAAGTTAAAGTTAGAGTTACATTAAAAATACATTCACATACAAAATTAAAACTTGATACAAACAAAACGCCCAGTGATATCGTGCAACATTAGGGACATACTCGACTTTTACCCCGGAGTGCGTCGCCACGCCCGACAAATAAATTACGCCAATGTTAACTGCCCACCCGCTGAGCGCACGTGACTTAACGAATAGTATCTATGTTTGTTTGTACACTTCAGATAAACATATCAAAAGACAGTCACTTGTAACTTTTACGGTGCGCATTCACTGATTTTATTGTATAGTTCAAACCTTTCTAGAATAAACGTGAAGTGGATTTGACGGTGGAGGAGATGCATAGGAAGGGAAAATATCGTTTAGGTGCGTCTCCTTCGTCAATGGGTAGGCAGCGGTCGCTTCGCCATTTGCGGATTCAAGTGGCCGTTTGCTCATTTGCCACCTTGTAATATAAAAAGAATGCGTCGAAATACATGGAATCTTGAAAAAATTCTAAAACTGGCCCTTTATTAAAAGAAAGCCCTTTATCTATTTCTAGCTATTTTGCTATTGCAAACAGAATAAACTCTGTCTACCTCTCTGGCGATATATTTCTTGTTTAATTACGTAAATAGTTATGAATTTACTATAAAAATATATAATTTAAGCCCTGCTATTCAATTAATAATTACTTATTAAAATTACCTTTTTAAATTCTTAAAGAGGTGAATGTACAACAAGTTAAATGGACAATATTCTTGATAGGAGAGAGGATTACGGCGAGAATTGACGAGCACCGCCCGACCCCTTGATATACCATTAGCGGCCAAGAAAAACTTGCAAGAAAATTGGGTAAAGGCCATCACACACTTAACTATTTAAATAATAAATGCAATTGTACTTAACATTTTTTTTTTAATAAATGTTAATTCTACCTAAAAACGGTGAAGAAATCGAAATGGTAAGTGTTATATTTTTATTTACATTTTTACAATTATGTACTGTTAGGAACAAAATTAGTACCGTGCTGTAGAGTTGGCGCAACTCTAGATTATCGGCATAAACGTCACGTAGCTGACAGCTGTCAATGTCACTAGAAGTATGGATAGATTGGCGCGCAACTTGAGTCCTGGCGAGAAATGTTGCTCTGAGTTTAAAGCGACAGTATCAATTAAATAAGTTGTCTAATAGTACATACATATGTAGTATTGTGAGACTTAAAAGAAACTTGAAATTACCACAATTAAAGTCAAAGTAAAACTACTTAATTTCATTTATATTATTGACTATAGTAGTAGTATTTAAAAAAATCAAATTATAAACTCAATGATCAGTGTGCGTTAACCTTTAAAACAACCCTCCAATGAAATTCTTATGGAGTTTTTAAAAGTGGCGGCCGCAACCCTTTTATTTTGATTAGTTATTGTATTTACGGGGGGCGGGTGTCTGCATTGACAAAAAAATCATTACCCCGAAGTGGGAATTACAAATTGGAGACGCTGTTTTGACAGTCATTATTTTATGAGATACAGATTTTTAAAGCCAGTTTTAGAAACGGTGGAATTAACACTGAAGTAAAATTGATAGAGTTTATCTTTTTTAATGAACACATCAAATAACTACAATAAATTTCTTCCCCTTACATTAAAGTCATCTGCAACTTGAGCCCAACTTTGACTTATCAACAAGTAATCGAAGTTCATATTTAGATTATGTCGACTTTGTACCCGACTGTCAAAAAGGTATCTAAGTTTGTACCCGACTGACACAGAGGATGTTTTTCGTGCGTATCTGTGTTGCATGTCAGTTTGTATGTAAGTAAATTTTATTGTAACCCCTTGGCACATTAACTACTAGACTGATTTTGACGATTTATGGATTTAATTCGAATTGTTCCACAGACTGTCATAGGGTATATTTAATCGTCACAAAACACATATAACATGAGAAATAATAAAAAAAAGTTCAAATATCAATCGCCGAAATTATTTCATTAGTTAAATTGTTTATCAATATCTTCTAGTTTATTCTTTAAAAAAAAAGAAAATCTTACTTATAACATTACAGTTAGTTTTAATTTTAAAAACCATTGTTTCAAAATGCGAGCAATAGATGGCGCTGTTACACTATTATAGTCTTGTCAGTTTTGTTTCAATTCATGTTATTGAGCTTTTGATGAAAAAGATACTTTTTTTTATTGATTTATGTATATATTGAAAAAACTCAAAAACTACTGAACCTATTTCAATATTTCTCGCACCATGTAAAAGCTACGTTATCAATGAGTAAGATAGGCTATATTTTTTATTGTTTTTTTTAATTTCACGCGGACGATATAGCAAGCTATTGCTAGAACATAATTTTCTTGATGTTTTAGTTTCTCGTATTCCATTATAAGGCAGGAAGTATAAAGTGAAAGCTAAGCAAATAGGCAAGATAAGGTAAATAGAGTTTTATGTGGACAATACGCGCCGTCTCGCTGAATGGCGGCGCGCAGATTGCAGTTTACTTGCCTTGATGGAATATATTAACGTGTTGACAACCAAGGGTTGGCAGTTTCACTAAACATATAAATGCAAGCTTGAATGGATGTGTTTGTAGCCTAAATTGCTGAAATTCCTAAGCATAAATTCCTGACTACCCTTTAAACATGGCAAACCTGATGTTGATCATAGTCAGAAACCCATATGCTACTTGTTTTTTTTAATTCCATGCGGACGGAGTAGCGGGCGTAAACTAGTGTTTTATATTTTTTACATCTATACTTTGTTATAGCCTTTTACAAGTTTCGCTTAATTATTGTTTACTTATTTGAATAACTTTCACTTACTAATTCGGTTAAAAAATCTCTTAATAATGTGAAGACATGTAAAATACCGTTAGTAATAATAGCTACACTTTACATATATAATGTTTTTATATTACCATATGTAATTGAAAAATATCGTTTCCTTTTTGACAACCCTAATGACGCAACAGGAATGACGCGGCCAATTGAAATGGTCGCGTTTTTGCGAGAATCGTATATAACGTAAAAGCGTTATATGCCGGCTTTCATAGCATTTTCTCATTTACAAGTCTTTTAAAACCGAGTAGTTAAAAAAAAGGTAAAAAAGGAACATTATAACTGCGATTTAAATGGATACTTTCTTACTAATATTATAAATGCGAATGTTTATATGGATGGATGTTAGAGTTTGTAGTCTAAACGTCTGAACGGATTTCGATGAAATTTGGTATAAACTTAGAGGATAGTCTGGAAGAATACATAGACTACTCAATTTTGATTTTTTAATTCCACGCGGACGGAGTCTGGCGAAAGATAGTGTTACTAAAAATCTCCAAAACGGGTCAAGAATAGCAACTAAATTTATAACAGACTAGATGTTCCCGTGCGACTTCATTCGCATGAAATAATGAAAATTTTACTTCCTTGATGTTGGCAGCAACTTATGGTCTCTTTCCCACATTAGGGTTTTTATCCAAAATATTTACCCCTTAGTTTAATGTCGTGAAAATGTAGGGTTTTTTATTAAAAAAAGAATTATTCAAAAATATGCTGTAATTGCTGACATCTTAAGCAACAACGAAGTGTGTGTTTACGCTTTATTATAATAGTATAGAAGTATAGATAGGGCAAAGTCTGGAAATTAAACTAACGAAGTTTTAAATTCCGTGCAGACGGATTCGCGTGTAAAAGCTTGTTTAATATAACTTACTTGAGGTTTACGTTTTTCAACATCTTTAGGTTTCAATCGCTGTAAATGGTTGGGTATTCGCGTCTCCTCTGCAACTTTCTCTTCTATTCTCTTTACAATTTCATTACCCTTCTTAGGGTTGACTCTTGCGGTCTGAAAATATAACGAAAAAAAATTACATTATGAGGACATTTTTTTACTTTTATGTACTAATTCACCGAAAAGCTTAGGTTTAATTTATCCATACAAATTTTACTACAATTATAAATGTGAAAGTTTAGATGCATGGATGTTTGTTAGAGTTTGTAGCCTAAACAGAACGAATCTCGATGAAATTTGGCATAGATGTAGGGCACAGTCTGAAAGAACACATACTTTTGATTTTTTTAATTCTACGCGGACGCAGTCGCGGGCATAACCTAGTATAAGTTTATCGAGTTTTCATGATATTTTACTTACCATTTCTTCGTTTCTTCTGATAATTTCAAGTTGTTGTTCCCTGGCTATGGCTTGTCGCACCGCCGGCTGCGGCCTGACGCGCTCCTCCGTTCCTTTAGTATGAAAAATACATAGCTTTAAACATATAAGTATAGCATATTCTTAAAATTCAAAATATCTGAATGCACAGAAAAAAATAAGACTGTCTCTAAATTATGTAACTACTAACGCCATCTATTGATATAAGAATTAAATTAATGTTTTTGGGAATTCAACGCGTTTCTTTGATCTTATCTAAACTTTACCAACAACTATTGAAATATTTTTAGAAAACTAATTTAAATAAAATCTTTATCTACAGAAAAGCGAATTTTATTTACCTTTCTAATCTACACTTATATTATAAAGAAGGGAAAACATTGCATTTTTGTATGTATTAAACTCAAAAACTACTGAGTTTATAGCCTAAACTGCTGAATGTATCTCAAAGAAATTTGTCATAGAGTACATAGTGTCAAAGAGTATAAAGTATACAGTAATGTCATAGAGTATAAAGTATACAATAATACATGTCAGAGAGATAGTCTGGAAAAGCACATGGGCTTCTTTTTATTATCCCGGACGAAGTCGCGGGCGAAACCTAGTATCACGAGCCACGAGTATTAAAATATTACCCATAAAAGCGATTTTGTATATATCAGGTTCCAAGTGGTAGGAGTAGAGTCCGTCGAGCGCGCGCTGCACGTAGCGCAGCCCGTAGTCGCACAGCGCGCCCGCGCACGCTCGCACCGTCTTACGCTCGCTCTCGCTGCACAACTGGAACAAAGAGGGCGCTGGAATCTACGTTATTTTACAAAAAAATATCACAAAACATATAACCAACTTTTACCTGCGACGTCAACACGGAATAAAAAAAAATGATAAATTTAATTTCTTTCTATTTAATTATTTCTAGATAAATTTTAAGAAACAATCGTTATTCAATGCGGGACACCTTTGACTAAACTATACTATAGCTTATATGGACACTACACGATTTTTAGTTGTGCAACAAAAAAATTGAAATGGCAGCGAAACAGTGGTAATGTCCGCTTTAACATCTTAGCACTGCAGGGCCGGCATGCCCGGTGTAATACCACGACCACACAGAAGACAGGCGTGAAGTGGAAGCAATTCCGCGTTTCGTCTGATGAGTGTGGTGCCGGAGGCCTAATTTTAGTCCCTTTCCCTTTCCACCCCTTTCTTAAGAGGAAAGGATGGGAAGGGGAAGTGGATTTGACGGTGGAGGAGATGCATAAGAAGGGGAAATATCCTCTTTATGTGCATCTCCTCCTCCGTCGTATAAGGGTAGGCAATGCATCTGCAATTGCGGATGTCTATGGGCAGCGGTCGCCTCGCCTCGTTTGCCACCTTATGTTATAAAAAAAAACAATTGTTGTGCGATTGTTTAGTCAAAGGTGTGCGTCCGCTCTTACAAGTATTATTAGCATTATAAATGAGGGAGATTTGTCTGTGACTTTGTGTGCGCTAATCTCAGAAACGACTAAACCGGTTTGATTATTATTATTACTCATTTACTGTAATTAGCTTCAATTAAAATTTAGTGTTTGTTGTATATCAATTGAAAAAGATTTGAATATACGTTCGCTTCCAATATCTCCTAAACGGCTGAACGGATCTCGATGAAATTTGGTACAGATGTAAAATAAATCTGAAAGAACACATGGGTTATTAAATATTTACTAATCATCAGACGAAGTAGCAGACAACAGCTATCATTACATAAATCAAAAGTCTATACTGTATAGTCCATACAATCATATGTAGAGTAATAAATCTTAATTAATTTAATATTCCTTTGTTGATCAAGTTTGATATCAGATTTAGAACAGATTAAAAAAGATAATTTGCATACATACCTGTATATTAGCAGATCGTAAGGTGGGCGTCAGTATATAAGGTAACAATGGCAACACATCCAATCTGAGTGCGTTCTTGTTGACGATGCGAGGTCCGCCGCCGCGCCACACGGAATGCAATATGCTATCCAATTCTACTTTCTTACGGTACATCTAAAACAAGAAAATTTAATACTACGTATTTTCTTACTAATGTTATAAATGTGAGTTTAGATGGATGGATGTTTGTTTGAGTTTGTTGCCTAAACTGCTAAACGTATCGCAACGAAATTTGTTTTTGTTTTAAAATCGCGAACGGAGTCGCGGGCGAAAGCTAGTGTTATAATAAAGATTGGTTAAAGCGATTAGACCAAATCCTAGAAATAGCAGTATTGGACATTTTTACTATGAGAGTGGAATACCAATCTCATAGTATTTGAGTGTCTAATCTTGTCTATTACGGCCCAATACTGAAACGACATTAAAATATCTTACATTAAAATTTTGACGTCTATTAGTCAGCAGCGCTTTCGTGTTTAAGATTGGTTTTAGTATTCGGCAGATAATTTCACTCAAGGTAGACTTCTGAAACGAATTATGAAGCCGCTTACAATCTGATAGATGTCAGATATTTGGTGTTTAAGTGCGTTTTTTGCTCTCTTTGGTTTTAGTAGATATTACTATACTTAAGTAATAATTATTAAACCAATTCTAGTCTCATTTTTAAAACAAGCTATTTTCAATGAAAATCCTAATAAAAACCAACCTCCTGCGCTTGCAATGGAAATTTCAACTTGTGGTAAGTCCTCGTAGCGAGCAACCTATGACACCTCGCGATGCAGAGTGGCAGTGTGCCATACAGCGAGTAATTCTGACACCGCATCGTCCACGACTGCACGGTGTCATAGAAGCCAAGCCAACTCATCGTCTCTGACGCTATATGGAGACGGGTGTCAACACGAGCGTTGGTATAATTCTCGAATATACCTTCCACTAATCTGTAAAAAACACAACGAATATAGAAGTAAACGACAGTCGAATCAGAAGCATTGAAAGTGTTAAAAAGATATCGTTGATATGGATGGATGTTAGCGTTTGTAGCCTAAACGGCTGAACGGATCTCCATGAAATTTGCCACAGGTTTAGAGCATAGTCTGGAAGAACACATAGGTTACTTTTATCCCGGGAATAGTTACGGTTCCGGTGGGATTCATTCATTTAGTTTTTTAATGTTTCCACGATCATTCTGCAACGGTTCAACATATCTTATTGAAAGCACAGATTTAAAACAGTCTGGAGTACAGTTGAGATACGGTTCATCCCCAAGAATTGTTCCGAGGGATACGTAGTTTTTCGTTATTTTTATAGTTCGTATGTTTTCTAATACCACGGGGACGAAGTCGCGGGCAACAGCTAGTATATACATATATAGATAAACATTTTGGCAAGTATGATGTGTGTTTGTGCGTTCATATGTGCGTGCCTGCATGATTTTGTGTGTGTGTAAAGGTGTGCACATATATCTATGTCAATTTTACCTGTCATATTCCCCAGCACCCTGTATAATCTTGAGTAAGGAGTCAGGTTTATCGTGCAGTGTGAACACAGCCTGCAACGCTTGCATTATACTCTTGCTGGTATCCTTTGTGCCGATCGCTACATTCTCTATATCTTCTATGGTTAACTGGCAACAAGACAGGCATTTTTTACATTTCTTGTAGCAGTGAAAAGGTTAACTATTGTATTACATTTTTAGAAGGATAATAATGGAAGTACCCACATCTGTTGCAAGAACGTCCCGTAAATATATGGCAAGCGGAAATAATTTCGAGTATACTCATTTTAGGCGTCATTACCTAACCCTCATTTTTCTATGAAGGGATGGAAGAGAGATGTGTACTTAACAGAGTGAATGCTAGGACGTAAATATAACCTCTTTTTGAGCGTCTGCCAAAAGTCTATGGGCAGTTACTTTGCTCTAACTACATCCATGACAAATTTCATCGAGATCCGTTCAGCAGTTTAGGCTACAAACTCGAACAAACATCCATCTAAACTTTCGCATTTATAATATTAGTTAGATGAATATGCAAACCTTGGTCTTAGCTTTGAGGAAACTGAGCACGTGTAGGGCAGTACGTATGTCCCCAGCCGCTCGTGTAGCGAGCGCAGTCAACACTTTGCTCTCAACCCGGAGCCTCTCGCAACTTGCCACTACTGCTAGGCGAGTTGCTAACCGTGCGGCGGTTACACTGCCTACAGTCACTATTACAGCTACTGGCCTGGAATTTATTTATTTTATACTTGTTGCTCGCAACGTCGTGCATGAAATTAAAAAATAATAAAAATATAGCATATGTTTCAATGATAAAGTAGCTTATTAATGTTGAAAGGATTTTTGAAATCGACCCAGTAGTTTTTAAGTTATTTCAATTCATACACAAATATAAATCTTTTCTGTTTATAATATTAAGTATAGACTAGCTGAAGCTCGCGACTTGGCCCTCGTGAAATTAATAGAAATATAGCATATATTACTCACACATAAATTACCTTTCTAACAGTGAAATAATTTTTGAAATCAGCCCAGTAATTTTTAAGTTACTTCAATACATACAAAAAATCTTTCCTCTTTATAATATTAGAATAGATAAAGATACAGATAGATATAGATATAGATGAAACTAGGGGTTGCTCGTGGCTTCGTCCGTGTAGAAAATTTTAACTAAGTTACTACCGCAAACATAAGCTACGTTCCAAAAAAAGTCCCATCAAAATCAATCTAGTCGTTTCTGATAATTAGAGAGCTAATACTAATAATACAGTGGTTTTTTTTCAATACCAGTTTGAATCCCTACCAACGATACCCGACAGTGGCGAAAATCAAATAGGCACAAAATCCCACGTTTATAACCTATCTTTTCATAAAGGTACCTCGAAGCGTAAATATACTCTGTGGTAAAAACTGTCAAATGACAACGAAAATACAATAAACAAACCACGCTGTCAGTCAGTAACTAACTTACTGGTTTCAAATATTTAAAGTTTGTATCAAAAGTTTAATTAAAATAAATAATGAACGTAAAAACGAAATGGAGGTGTTACAAAACTTGTGCAGTGCCTTTTTGCAAGAGTACCACAATCAGTACGCCGCACAAACTATTCATACATGTTCCAAAGAATCCGAACATAAGAAGAAATTGGTTAATACTTGCTGGAAGACTCCCAACGGCATTATTAAGCTCCGTTTATTTTTGTGAAGATCACTTTAATGTTAGTTATTATATGACAATAAAAGTTTGGTTTTATTAATTGATTAAAAATAGATATTTCGAAGACTAACGTAGACTTTCTTAAGACACAATTTTGCAATTATTTCATGTTTTTTTAATTAATTTGATGAATACTATATTTAAATTTAAAACATTAGAAAGAATAACAGTAGACTGTTGTTGGATGACGTAATCTATACTATAATAAAGAGGAAAACTTTGTTTCATTGTAATGAAATAACTCAAAAACTACTAGGCCGATTACGAAAATTATAACACCATTAAAAATCTACGTTGTCTGTGAGTAACATAGGCTACGTTTTATGTTTTTTTTACTTTCACGGGAATGTAGTCGTGGGCGAAAGCTAGTTAACCATAATAATGAAGTTTTGTTTTAAAAAATGCATTTTATATTTACGTTAATTTACGTAGACGTAGATTTGTCTTTTTATTAATTATTAAAAAAATTAATAAAATTTTAGCTTGAAGATGACATGGAAAATTACATTGAGTATACTACAATGGGGGCTGTATCATCAGTAAAGATGAGACCTGGTTGTCTACCAACTAAGTTTGCTTGCCAACAAGAAATTATTTTAACTGATAACATACCTAATTCAAAAAGGAAGAAATTCTCATTTACAGCTGAATCTGAACAAATGAGAATGGCTGCATTAATAAAAATTGAAAATGTAAATAAGAAACGGAAAAGACTCAAATCAAATAATGAAACTGAAGGTATGTTACTATAAGTTTCTTTCTCTAAAATATACAATAGGTCCTAATCTTATTAATATTTGCGAAAGTTTAGATGGATAGATGTTTGTTAGAGGTTGTAGCCAAAACGGCTGAACAGATCTCAATGAAATTTGACATAGGTGTACAGGATAGTCTGGAAAAACACATAGGCTACTCACTTTTGTTTTTTTGCATTCCTATGGGGACGGAGTCGCGGGCGAAAGCTAGTTAAAATAAACTTAGTAAGTAGCCTATGTGTTCTTCCAGAATATGTAATACATCTGTGCAAAATATATCTGCAAAGCAATCTGGGATATACATAGTAACAAAGAACAATCCATCCAAACTATCTCATTTACATTACTATGATCTTGATAACCTGATTTATATGTATATCTTTGCACATATATATATATTACCTAATATATCCAACCTTCCATATGACTTTTATAACAAGAATGTAAATAAAAAATATATATCCAAAATTCTATACTAACTTACTACACTTGTTTTGTTTTTCAGATGCACTCTTTGAACAAAAAATTGAAAAAATCGACAAATCTGTCCAGGTCAAATTTACTGTCAAATGTAGTACTAAAAGTACACAAACTGAGAACTGATATTGTACTAAGCAAATAGCTTTACTCTAAACTGTAAGGTAACTTTACCTATTTCTTTATAATGAAAGGATGAGAAATAGAAGTGTATATGGCAGAGAAAGGGCATAGGAAGGGGAATATCCTCTTTCTGTCTACTTCCAGTTAAAGATAAGCAATTGCAGATGAACAGTTGTAACTGATGTTTATTATTTGTGATCTGATAATCTACAAACTGAATTAATCTATGAGTGATTTTGTAAGCAACGAATCCAGTAAATATGGAAATAAAATACTAAAATATAAATAACAAGTATTTTTTTATTTATAATCAGGTATCTTTAAGTAATGGTAAATATTTTCTTTCTAAAAGGATATTGTGCTTTTTTATGATTAAGAATGTATTCGACGGGTGAAAGGTATAAGGTATTTGTTTCAACCGCCATTTTACATTTTGACTCATAAATTTGGAATTTTAAATAAGATATAAATAATGAGGTATATAGAATTATAGTAATTTTAATCTAGAACCGGACTGAAAATCTTTCAATTGAATTTATTTCCAGGATGTGCATTTGTTTTTTTTTTTCTAAAAATGAAGACTAAATGGCTATCCTGAACATTCAACCTAATGGCGCTTAAAACAAATAGCCTTTCACCTAACGTATTATTATGAAGAACTCATAAGCTACTTAAACTTTTTTAATTCCGCGTGGACGAAGTCAAGGGCGACAGATGTTAATATCTTCATAACAGAAAACATTTAATTATGTTTTTAATACTACACGCCATTTTGTAAAAATGAAATGTGATTTTAGTAAAGATATAATTGCCTAGTAATATTGATGAAATATCTTTGCCTGTTTAAAAATAACAACGAAAAGGCACGATTATTTTAAATAGAAATCAGTCATTTAAATAGATCAACATATATAAAAGTATAAACTAAACTAACCTCAAAGGTCTCAAAGAAGTTGCATACAAGTCGTTACATATAGCTATGACCGGTCTCCGCAGCGGCTGAGACTTGGCCTTCTTTTTGCCCCCCTCTGGCAAAGTGCACCATTTCACTAATAACTCCACTGTCTGTGTGGGCGCACCGTCTATCTCATCTGAAATAATTCAATTATTTATTAAAAGTTGATATTTTTACTGGAAATGCATTTACTAATATAACAAAGAAAGATTTGATTGTTTGCATTGAAACTACGAAACGCCTGAACTGATTTGTTCGCCTTTAGAAACCCACATCTGTCTTGCTTTCGCCTGTGACTCCGTCCATGTGGAATTAAAAAACAGCACAAAAGTAAGTACCTCATGTGTTCTTACAGACTACCCTCTACATCTATGACAAATTTCTTCATCTGTTCAGCTGTTTTGTCTACAAACTCTAACAAACATCCATCCATCCTTGTTATAAATGGAAATATAGTAAATTTAGAGTAGTGTTAAAAAATAATACAGATGTACAGGTTAAGATGGATGGATGTTTATTAGAAGAAAATTGAAATAGAACATAATCTGGATGACCACATAGGCTATTTTTTTTTAATCTGGTCAGATGGAGTCAAGGGAATCAGCTAGTAAAGATGAAACACATATTTTTCGCCACACAGGCGAAGTAGAACGGATGGCTAGTTTTATACTAACCTAGAATAAGACAATTAGGTCTTCTATCGACATCCATGACAGATCTCATGGAGGTGGCACTCACCAGCGCTGATCTGAACGCTTCTGTACTTCTGTCATCTGAAGCGTTTAGCTCCACTGGTCGGTAACCTTAAAATATAAACATAACTTTAGTGAAACAGATTTTTATGCTATATAAGAGTCAGAATTATACTGTACTTCTATGATTTTTTTAATATTTAAAAGTAGCAGGCGAGCGAGCGGCCGCCTATGTTTGCCGAGAAAGTAAAACGATTGCTACCCATATACTTCCGCAATTGCAGATGTGTTGCCTGCCTACCCTTAATCAACAGAGAGGAAAATGCAAATAAAGAGGAAATTTCCCCTTCCTATGCGTTTCCTACACCGTCAAATCCACTTTTCCGTCCCATCCTTGCCTCTTAAGAAAAGGGTGGAAAGGGAAAGGGACTAAAATTAGGCCTCCCGCACCACACTCATCAGAGGAAACGCGGAATTACTTCCACGCCTGTTTTCTGTGTGTTCCTGTGTCTGTTCAACCTTGATGATGACAAAATCATCGAAATGACTATTCAATTAAAGAAAGAGAGAGAGAGTGAGAAAGAGAACCTTTTAGTAATGGCAATTAGATGCAATAGCCGACATAACTTACCAGCCAATCTCGCCAGTAGGTGTGCCAAAGTGGTCTTCCCCACACCTGGCGGTCCACACAGCAGTGCCACCTTATGATGAGGTCTTCCATCATCATCTATCTCCGGTTCTTCCTTTTTACCTTTCCATTTATTTGTTAATTGAAATTGTCCGGCACGCTTGCTGAAAGTGGTTCGTTGCTGTGGATCTTTTGTTTTGACTTCTTTCTTGAATACTACCTGGAAATAAATGGTAGTATGGTTATTTTTAAATTACTAGTCAATTGAGAAACTAATAATTTACTATATTGCAGTCTTGGGTACAAATCCCGCCATCTGTATCTTAATAGTTGTGTTTAAATAAGAAATATAAAAAATCTTCTTACATTTATTATAAACAAATTTGTATTCTAGTATGTATGTAAATAACCAATCAATCAATCATACTAATATTATAAATGCGAAAGTTTAGATGGATGGATGGATGTTTGTTAGTTTGTATGAATCTCGATGAAATTAGGCATAGACGTAGAGGATAGTCTGGAAGAACACAGTCTACTAAATTTTGTTTTTCTATTCACGCGGACGGAGTCGCGGGCGAAAGCTAGCAAGCATATATTTGTAAATTTAGAACATTACTTTAATTTGTGAACAACAATAAAGGCTTATTTTATTATATTTTATTATACAAAAATTACTGGACAGATCTTTTAATTTGTTATTAGAAAGCTATGTCATCTCTGAGTAACATAGGCTATTATGTATTTTTTATTTTATATAGATAAAGTGACATTGAAGCGCTAGTTTTTTATAAAAAAAAAAATAGTTTTTAAAAAAAATTTTCTCACCTTATCCCACAAATGTAGCCAATGTAATAAAGCTCTGTTCACAGGTTCTTCGGATAACAGGTCTATATATGAACTGGGTCTATACTTCTCTACCCACAAACTTGTGTGCTCTCCTGTGTCTATAATTGGCTGTGCATTTTCTTTTATTAATTGTTGTTGCTCTTTTTTATCTAACTGAAATAAATAATAAAGTTTATCAAACAGTTTCAGACTATATACATATACAGTAATATTTTAAACTAGGTTTTGCCCGCGACTCCGTCCGCTTGGGATTAAAATAAACAAAAGCGTGCCTATGTGTTCTTCCAGGCTATCCTCTACATCTATGCTAAATTTCATCGAGATCTGTTCAGCAGTTTAGACTACAAACTCAACATCCATCCATCTAAACTTTCCATCACCACTATACGTCCCCACTGAGGGGCTCGGAGCCTGCCCTAAGTAAGGGGTGACTAGGCCAAAGTCAACCACACTAGCCTGGTGCGGGTTAGTTGACTTCACACATATCATTGAATTTCTTTGCTGATATGTGCAGGTTGCATCACGATGTTTTCCTTCACCGTAAGAACGTCGGGTAAATTGTGTACATATGAAAAATCGAAAATCACACTGATACAGGGCTGAATTCGAAATCAAGACCTGTAGATAACAAGTCAAGTGTTTAAACCACTGAGCCACCGATGCTTGAAACTTTCGCATCTATAGTATTAAATAAGAAGTAAGATAAATGGTAAATTTTCTTACAATTCTTTGTGCCTCTTCCCAAGCAGAAGCATAAGTGTCCTTTAAAGATATTTGTTCTGTGTCCATTTCTAATGATTTTTTCCAATACTCTTCAGACTCCAGTCTTATGTAAATACGATCACCGTCTGAATTTGTTAACGGTATAAACGGCCATCTGAAAATCATAATTAGTACTTCTGAAAATTATGTAGTGTTATCAATTTAAAATAATCTATTTTACTAAAATTATAATTGTAAAAAAGCTTAACTGATCTTCATGAAATTGCACAGATGGAGAACATAGTCTGGAAGAACACATAGGTTACTATTTTTATTTTCCATAGACAAATCTACAGGCAAAAGCTAACAATTCTAGTAATACTAGGCATAATTTTAGTCCCTTTCCCTTTCCACAATTTTTTAAGTGAAAAAGGGGAGAGGAAAAGTGGCTTTGATGGTGTAGATGCATAGGAAGTTGTAATATGCTCTTTATATGTGTGTCCTCTGTAAATTAAGGGTAGGCAATGCATCTGCAATTTCATTTTTTTAATTCCATGGATGATTCAAGAGGGTGCTTTCTTATTTGCCACCTTATAAAAAAAATACTAAAGGCTTAATAATAAGACTGTGAGACACTAAAAATTAAAGAAATTGGATAAATTACTTCGGTATATTGAGAGATATGTTTTCCTTCACATCAAAGTTAACTTTAGTCTTAATATTCCCACCACTTGTAGGCTCCACTAGCATTTGTTTTAATTGTCTTTCCTGCAGAATCCTATTGATTAAATCCAAATCATTTTCTTCATCTGTCTTCTGTCTTTTACTAGGTAACTCCAGATTATCAAAGTCAATGTCATCTATATCACCGAATAAATCCTCCGCAGTCCTTTTACTGGGTATATTCGTTTGTGCCAAAACATCTTCCATGTTTTGTAAGCTAGGTGTCAAACTAATATCATCTTTTTTGTTAGATTCTTGTTTTTCTTGGTTACATATACTTTTGGAATGAGAAGAGAAATCTAAACTTCGTTTCGCTGGTAAAGATTTTTGTTTAACTGGATTAGAAGCTGGAATAATAGAAAGTATAATTTAAATTTTGCAATTTCATGTATTATTATTTAAAATAGGCTTGTAATTAATATTCAGGTACTATTTTGCTGAATACTAAAGTAATATGTTTCGTAATAGGAAGATAATTGAAGAAATAAAGAAAATTGATCAATCATATACTTATTTATATTTTAATTTCTCTTATAATTATTAAAGTAGTCATTGGTACATAAGGCAGGCATTTAATTATTTTATTAGAAAAGTTAAGACTTTGTCTATGCATCTGAATTATTTTCAGTCTAAGGTGAAGGTTATGGTACAGAATGCTTATTTTTCTGGATGTTTAGGAAGTAGTTTACGTCCATTTTTCTCGTAGACCTCTACAGTTTGTAGATTATGGTACAAATTATGGCGATAAAATCTTGCCGAATACAGGTTGGGGCAAAAGCAGATTGATGAATAATGGAAGTAATAAATAAGTAAGTAAAATCACTTTCAATTTTAACGTACCTGTTTTATCTTCAACTTCCCTCATTAATTCTAACTCGTCTGAATACATAAGCTCGTATTCTTCATCGGGGTCAGGAAAATCAGACATCTTTGAGCCGGTTTTTATTTATAACACTGAACAAATGTTATCTGGTTATGTACCAAACTTGCAAAATTTGCAAAAGTCGATTAAAATAATTGTTTATAAAAACATCTGAAACTTATCTTAAATAAATATAAAATCCCGCCAACCCGCAAACAAAAACTTTTTTGACGTACTGATTGTATTTTGCTGCTGACATTGACATTGACAGTTGACTGTTGGTTGAAATAGTGTTGTGCGTAAACATCAATAGAACATCATTAGGTAACTATCGATGATACTGCTAAACTTGATGTAGGCGCCAATGATTCTTAATTTAGCGAATTTCATAGTGAGTTAAATTCATTAATACATTACTAACTATTGATTTTAAGTATTTTAAATTCTTGAAATACAAATTAAAAGTGACTGCTTTGCTGCCTTTTAATTAGTCAATAAATTATCGCTTTTAAGTCAGGGCTTTCCACTACATTTGTTTTGAATCAATTTTAGCAACTGAATTTCCCAATCAACACCCATGGAAAGAGTGTGCTGTCTCTTAAAAGACCAAGGACTTAGAAGGTTTTTGTTCTTTTTGTTTTACATTAAAAAAGTGATTACTTAACATTAAGAAAATCCATTCTTTGCCGCTTATCGCAAAATGTGCATTTTTTTATTTTTTGAACTATTATTACCTACTCAGGCTTATAGCATTTGCTTTCATTTTTTGTTATACCGCTGTTGAATTAGTTATAATTTAAACTTCAAAAAACTACGGGGTCAATTGAATCAAAATCAAACACCAAATTTTATATATGAAATTTTTAATAATAATTGGGTATATTTACAATTGGTTAACAAACGTGAATTACATGAATAATGTTAGAAGAGGTCCTTCAACAGCAACATTCCTGAATAACACACGTTCACATTTACCAAATGTCAAAGTATAAGTACGATTACCTATTATTAGAACACTTGAAATCCACAACTCGGCAAAAACTCCGTACTTCTGGTCTTATTGTTAATTGGAATGTACATTACTATCTTATTTATCTTAAGGTTTACGATGAAAACCAATGATTTTTAAACGAAGCTTAAATTAGATTTACCTTTAAAGTCTAGCTAGAACTAACGTTCTATAGGTATCTGGGACTAATCATTTTTGTTATTGGACCGTAATCCAATGAACTGACTTTTAATTTTATGTGGTTTTTAAATTTCATTAGTTTTGGGCAAGGGAACTTCGTATTTTTTAGTTTTAGTTCTTATTATAAATTATATGTATGTATATGGTGCCGTACAGTTTCTGGAGCTCGATTTATAATTTGTTAAGTTGTGTACAGTATTACTAAATGACAACTTCAAAACAAAATGTTGAAGGGACCGTAACTTACTTAACGTCTTTAAAAAATTGATAGCAAGGTGCAGCGTAACAATTTTATAATGTAAGTAGTAAGTAGGCTCAGTTCTCTGAAACCTCGTCCTTCTTGATGGTTGGATGGTTATTGGCACTTCATGTTTAAGATAATAGATATAAAATTTCTAATTCAATTGGTAATTTCGTTGTTCATTAAAAAATAAAAAGAGCTTTAAACTGATTTTAATTTAATTGATTCATGTGAAGACACTCGTGCAAAGAATAATACTTATTCTTATCGAAAGTCTTCTACAATTAAACTCGAACAAGCCGCGTTTTGGACGGCTCTGGACGAATCAATAGGTTTTATTTGAATTTAGCTAGCAGTGAATTTATTACTTCTGAATATGAAGTAACTATTTAATATAATAGTAAACTAGAATTTTATTTATATCGAAGACACAATTAAAGTAAAACAGTGCCTATTCAAACTCAAACTTAACAAAATATAAATCGATTGTGTTTTATTCGACACTTTTATAATATTGCAAGAGATCGAAGGAAATAATATTAACAACTATTTATCGACTACTAACAAGACACTAGCGCAAAATAAATTATTAAACAAAACATGGTAACACAAACACAATATTAAACATCACAGACTTCTACTTCTACCTAATAAAATGAGTCAGCTGTAGATTTGAGATTCACAATCACACATACAATCCTTGTTACATTTACTTTACTAATATTTCTCCTTAACTATGGCACTCGGTGACATAAAAATTATAATCAATACAACGAAAACAAGTCATCAACCTCACTATCTCACAAAAAATAATTACTAAAATAAAAACATGATTAACAAAGAAAAGCTAAAACTAAACGATAGTTAAATATCATTCTTTGTATACACCACATAATTTATAATATAATCGTTAGTGACTAGAATTAGAGTATGTTTAAACTTTAAGCTATAAGACTTATTAGTAACTTAAGTAGACATATTTTCCTTTATCGTAAGCAAAGCAGATATTGATTTTCATTGCCTAGTATTTTATAAACGCAACCAAACAAACACTAGTAATAAATTCATAAATCCCTAAAACACTAGAATTAGAAAGTCATTAGTCAAGTTATAAAAATGCGACACATAAGTCATGAAATATTTATAAACTAAACAATATCTGAAATGAAAATTAATATTATTAATATAAAAAGGTTTCTCAGTACAGATATATTATAATTATGCAAATAGAGTATTAACATTAGTATAATAAAATTATATAAAGACGTTGTGAAAATGCTTTATTAACCCGAGTGCCATCAGGTTGACTAAATACCTGCGATCCATTTGACTAGACTAAACTATCGCTTAAGACTTATTATATGTATTAACTTTAATCGTTATTTCTGTACAAAACACTAAAACGTTCGCGAAATTTGACCTATTCTTTAATAAATATTCCACACCGAATATATCGCCCCGCTTTTAGCCGGTCAAATCTTTATACGTACACATTGTAGAAGGGTTAACCGGAATACAGACAGACAGTACAGACAGTAACTTTATATTGCATACTCCCGCCTGCCGCATTTCGCTAATATCAAACTAACTATATGGCAATACGATTTCACTACAAATACGAGACTTATATACTAACAGCTGTTCTATTGGACTAACATACCGTTTATAGTGACTACGGTATAAGGCCTGAGTACGTAGACATTCTTCGTCAATTTAATACACAATTTTATCGACGTTTTAATTAAAATCAATTGTCGATGTTCGCAATCAAAATGGCACGTCACTACAGTTCGGATACACAAATTTTAATATAAGAACTTTTTATTGAATACTTTTTTTTTGTAATTCCTTGCTAAACAAACAGAAATAATTTGGATCAATCTTTGATACAAAATATTAAAGTGCATCAATCCTTTAAAACAGACATTTACTTATTCAAACATAGACCTAATATTTAACATTGACTATTATAAGTTGGTCTCCCTGACCACAAGCCGAACATTCTCAATTCTCATAAATTCCTGATCTTGTTTGACGGGATTGGCAAATAGATCAATAGAGATATTATAATAAGATTTAATTACATTATTTTCCATTTATCTTCAAATTCTTTTTAGCCACTTTTCAATATAAATAATGTAGCTAGAGGTATTTATAGTGAAGAAAGTTTGTTTTCTACTTTACAACTTTCAAACAGACGAAAAAAAATAACGATCAATTTTTAAATTCAGTGTATCCTATCGTTTTTTGATAATTAAACAGTTTTTAAAAATGATATTGATTTTAGAAATAACAGATATTATTCTTAATGTAACATCTCTAAGGACTTGTCTTAAACCAATCATATTCCGTCTTTTTTTCAACATACAGGACCCTTCGGTACTCAAATGTTGTTCTACGATCGATTACTAATTTAGACAACATGTAATGAAATCATTATTAGAAATTTCCAAAATAAATAAATCGCTTGAGTATTGTTTTAATAGTCATAGATTAAGTGGAAAAGACACAACAAAAAAGCACTAAATGAAATGGAAGAAAGCATATTAAGGGAAGAAGTATTACATTACATGTTGCCAAATAAGTTATTTCACTTAGTTTAAGTTTTCATTTAAGATGTAAAGCATCTATTGGAATTATTTTATCTGTGAACCAAAGCTCTTTGGTATAATTTGGAGCCATTTCGCGGCCTCCATTATTGTTGTCCTTATTCGCTTATTTTTGACTTTTGCTAAGTCTTGGTCAATCGTGATTTTATGTATAACTTGAGCAATATCGTATTCAAACGTCTTTACTATAGGATTTACGAAAAACACTGAAATTAAAGAAATTGCTTAAAAACTTTGAACTCCATTGAAACATAATTAATTATGGCAATATCCCACATTTATAGCAAACAAGGAAAGGTTGATCGTATTTGATTGGGCTTCTGTATTCGGAACAGGTAGAGCCACTTTCCTAACGTAAATTAAATCATACATAGAGTGCGTTTAATATATTCACCAAAAATTAAGATTTTTTTATTTTCAGACACCAAAAGTAATCCAAATAACATAGGTCCTTCTAAGTAATGACTAGTTTGAATGTTGAAAGAATGTATAGGTAACTTCTAGAACTTCCTGTAGTTCCAATGCGATTGACCAAGACCGCCAGTCAGAAGCCGGCATCAGACGCGGCTGGGGCGGTCGGTAAGGGCCAGCCGCAGCACGGCCACCTCTGTGTGTCAGGCGGCCTGCAGGGCGTGCGGCGGCGGCGGCGCGGGGTGCGCGGGCGCAGGCGGTGGGCTGTCCACCGCACCGCACGCCTTCAGTTCCGTGAACACTTCGGTGAAAAACCCGGGCTCCGAGTTAATTCGAAGCATGTTAAAGGATAGCCTGTCTACGATGAGAAGGCAGCGGTCCCAGAACTTGTCCTTGGAGTCCTCGACGAGGAAAGGCTTGAGGGGGTAGGAGATTTCGTTGCCCATGTAGGAATAGGAGAGGTAGAGGCATGTTAGCACGACAGCCTGCAGCTCCTGCGGGCGCGCTATCCGCTCGCCATCCACCAGCTCGCGGACCAGCATGTACACGAACACCACGTTGGCTGGGTTTATGAACGCCACGTCCTGGAATTACATAAAATTTACTGTTAATTAATTTATTAAAAAGAGAACTGTAGTTGTAATTTAAAAAACTTGGGTAGCTTTTTAGTTATACCTAAGTAAGTACGGTATGACAGTTAAATAAGACACATAAGTATTTGTGAGTGAAAACATAAAAAACCAGCTTCAAATCCTTCATTTATAGTCGAGCTATTTTTACAAATGTGACACGAAGGACGGTGCTGATTTTTTTTCCACTTTCTAACAAAAATGAAAACTGAAAGGCTCTAACATTTTTTGATTTACATAAAAATGTTTACGTCAATAATACATGTTGCCTAAAACATCCGCAGTGGGCCACATTCTACCCCTGTTTCGATGTTACGTTGCGGCTAAAACAAAAGGCTGTGTTACGAATATTTTAGACCCCTTAACGCTCTAACTGGGGTGATACACCCCTTCTGTCCGCACCCCACTTTACAATTGCCACGTCTAGACACCTTCCAAGCCTTTCGACTGCATCTTTCTAGAGATGCATGATAGAGGGCGTAACCTATGTACAGTGAACATGCGTAATAGTATTTAAAGAAAAAAAAAGATTTTAGTCCTATTTGAGAGCAAAAACCATTAAAAAAATTATAACTAAAAGATATCTTACAAATATATTCATAAATGCTTACGTATAAAACTCATAATATCTCAATTTATATGTAATGAAAATTCCTTACATATTTTTCGAGTTATTAAAGCTATGAAAATCTAAATGCCTTTATAAGATTCTACGAAACATTCCGAGTAAACCATTGATTAAAATCACATATGACCTTCAACTATACCACGTATCATTAAACCTTATGACTCAAATATGAATAGATTTTCTTGTTACTTTTGGCAAGGCAAGAACTGACTCACTGCAAATGCTACTTGAATCTAGAATTTTCCATGACGCTTACAAAAGCGTACAAACATTATTTTAAACATTAGACCTTATGGTTAGGAAAAAGTGAGGTTATGTAAGATCCTTGACAAGTTTGCTAAGATTACATATAAATTACTAACTTTCGCCCACGTGGAACTAAAAAAACACAAATAAGTTTACACACAGTACACCTTAGATGATCTTCTAGACCAGTTATCCTCTACATTTACGTCTTTCATTGAGATCCAATAGTCGTTTAAGTTACGAACTCTTACAAACATCCATCTATCCAAACTTTCTCATTTATGACATTAGTAAGATTGGATAACAAATAAAGAAATTACATCGTTATTTTCTATTAATCTATACTATTATAATAAAGCGTAAACACACACTTCTTTGTTGCCTAAGATGTCAGCAATTACAGCATATTTTTGAATAATTCTTTTTAAAAAAAAAAGCCCTACACTTACGTCATGCTTTAGGCTAGGTATTTTCACGCCAATAAACTTAGGGGGTAAATATTTTGGATAAAATCCCTAATGTGGGAAAGAGGCCATAAGTTGCTGCCAACATTAAGGAAGCAAGATTGTCAAGGTTTGTCATGTCATGTCAGTTTGACATTTGCAATTGATAATTTGACAAATGTAAACAATAAAATAAAATTTTCATGATTTTATGCGGATGAAGCCGCATGTGAACAGCTAGTATTTCTATATTTTCAACGCTCTAATCTAAACGACGATAATATTGTGAAAAGAAAATAAAACATAACAATAGGAAATACAACGCAGAAAATAATTTCCGCTATCCACATTACTAGATCGTACCTAAACGTAGTAGAATTCATGTATTTCTCGACACAAACGTGGCCTCGTAACCTTGTACCCAATGTCCACACGAAAGTATCTTAGAATATAGAAACAATCAAATATTAAAAGTGGACGCACACCTTTGACTTATATCTCATAAATGTTTTAACTTTAACGATTGTCGTTTGTTCCGCAGCCCATTCAATTTAGTTATTTTTTTATTTATTTACAATAGGAAGCCAACGTATCACATGAAATAAGTTATGTTTGATGAAGAAAAATTATAACTAAAACACAATATCATGGGTACACTTACAGGCTAACACGACATAATAAACAAAAGTTTTACATGACAAAGAATCAATAACTAAAACTCACTACAAAAAAGAAAAATAACTTAATGTAGACTCCTAAGGTGTGTGATCTTTACTGGAATATTAATTTTTAATTATAGTTTTAATTAAGGCATTTGAATCATTAAATATATCAATTATTTGTAACTACATCTAAAAATCGAGTAGTGTGCACTTCCATATAAGCTCGTAGGAATCAGATGAGACTAAAAAGTTGCGATAGTATAGCTTTAGGTGTGCGCACGCTCTAAGTATGTGAAATACATTAAAAACAAATTTGTCAGCCTAAGCAATCACTTTAGTGATGTAATGTAAAACTTTTGACTGAACGACGTGTTACTAATAAAATTACTAACATATTGGTTTTTTGACCGACTTCCCAAAAGAAGGAGGTACTCAATTCGTCTGTATGTTTTTTATCATTTTTTATTTTCTTTTTATGTGTGTTACGGCATAACTCCGACGCTAGTGGACCGATTTTGATAATTCTTTTTTTATCCGAAAGGTAATGCTTGCAGGTGGGTCCCATTTTTTTGTTCGATTTTTTTATAATAATAGGAGGCAAACGAGCAAGTGGCCACCTGAATCCACCGCAATGGAAAGCGACCACTGTCCATAAACATCCGCAATTGCAATTGTACATAATCATATTTACCACAACTATACTTCAATAAAGACCTTTTAATGTTATATTTGTTTTTCAGTCTTTACTCTATACGTAACATAATTTTCGTAATTCGTTTGATATCGCGGTCGAAATCTTCAGCCAATTGACTTGCAAATACCGACCTACTTCTGTGATCCCACTGACGAATTTTTTGTATAAAACATCATCATCTCTGCTTTTTAAAATGAAAGAACGAGACAATATTTATTTATACAGCTGTTTTGAAAGTCAAAACTTTGAAAGACTTTCAGTGTTCGTGCTCTTTATAAAAATGAGGTTAATTCCATTTGTGTAAAGTAATAAATTACTTTAACATTACATAATTCAAATTGTACTTAACTCTTTTCGTAGTTACAAAACTAGGTATACACGAAAGTAGTAAATTAAAAGTTCATTTGTTTTTATATAACAATTAAATAAGTAACTAAATTCAGTCGTAACTCTTTTTTAATCATTAGATTAAATAATTAAATGTACATATAAATAAAATAGGCTTTAAACTGTAAAGAGGTCAGGGGTAACATTTTACAATTAAGTTGACAAAAGCGGTCGTTTGATCAACTTAAAGCCAATGCCAGTAAGCTTATTTAAAAAGCTCTCAAGTGGAGTTGTTAATTATGAGATTTGTCAGCATTAAAAGAGTCAAATACTATGAGAAATAATTTTACGCGACTGTTTAAACTAAAATAAATACAATCAGGCCGTATATTATGAAGGGGGAAAAGGGTAGAGGTAGGCCGCAAGAGATGTACGGAGAGTTTGAAAGTTAACATTATTAAAGGAGGACTGAGATGATGGGAAATAAATCGATTTGGATGACGAAAACATAGACCTACACTACATAGAGCAAGGCAAGGATATCCACACTGTTTGTTAAAATTAGAAACTATTTTATAAATAAAAACGCTTCGTGAATTCTCGAAACGTGAGAAATTATATGTGGAAACTGACGGCAAAAACAAAAGTGAAGCCATTGACCCTGTCATTTCGCAAACCTCGTCTGGACATACGTAACCGTAAGGTCATTGCTGTAACCACATTAAAATGTAAACAGGAGGTCGTTGCGAGTCGTCTGGGATTTAATCGGTCTTCAGATTTATAAGGACTTTGAACTTGATTGTAAAATTCAATAACATTTGACGTTTTGACATCGTAAAAATCATTTATATAAGAAACTATTGCACGAGATGTTAACTGATGTTCAAGATCACTGAACGAGTACCGTAATAATCTACTTTTATTAGGTAAAAATTAGGCAGTGGTTAAGAGCACACCTAAGTAACCATCGCACAACAGTTTTGCGATTATCCATTAACGATTATTTAGAAACCAATTCAACTGTTTAGTTGCACAACTAAAAATCTAGTAGTGTGCGCACCTCCGTATAAGCATGAGCTTCCTATTGTTAAGTAGAAAATCAGTATCGTACCATAGTAGCAGTGCAACACTGAATCACGGATATACGTCATGCCCCCTTTGACAGATGTCATTATTCACAAAAGAGTTCGAACGTAGAAGCGCGCCGTTTTGTTCCGTGTGTTGTTACAATTATTACTTAAAACTATGAAGGAATCAAAGCGAGTCTAAACGGTTGTGCGATAGTTTAGTTACAGATGTGCGCACGTTCCGTAAACTTACCGAATCGAATATGAACGAATAACCAAATTACTATCTATGGTTGCTATATCAGCGAAGAAATTCAAAGATGTTTGTGAAGTCAACTCGCAGTGAAGGTTGACTATGGCCAAGTCACCCGAACTTCGACTTCGAGCCCAACAATGGGAACATAAAGCAAAGGGAAATAATGATAATGAGTGGATCAATTTCGGCATTACCGCTATTAGATAGTTAGTTATTACACCGACTGAGCCGTCTAATTTGTATAACAGACTAGCAGTTCCCGTGCGGCTTCCGCATGTAATTACGAAAATTTTATTTTATTGTTTACATTTGTCAAATTATCAATAGCAAATGTCAAAATGACATGACATGACAAACCTTGGCAATCTTGCTACCTTAATGTTGGCAGCAAATTATGGTCTCTTTCCCACATTAAGGTTTTTATCCCAAAAAATTTACCCCCTAAGTTTTATGAAAACGTGAAAATATGTAGTCTAAAGCGTGATTTAAGTGTAGGGCTTTTTATTATAAAAGAATTATTCAAAAATATGCTGTGATTGCTGACATCTTTAGCAACAAAAAAGTGTGTGTTTACGCTTTATTATAATAGTAAATGCTGGTGTCTACTACTTAGATAGTTACTATTTAAATCATGTATTTGTTGTGCCATATTCCTACATTCTAAGCTATGTTATAGCAGTCATAAGAATTCAATAACAACCTTGTCTGGCGTACTTATGTGTAATTCGTATTGATTGTCTCGACACCTACAAGACTTCAAGGTTCACTTTGAGCACTTAATAGATCAAGATGTTAACGCTAGATATA